ACAGCAAAAAGGAGCCAGCCTATGCCTGTGGTCCTCCCATTCCCTGAAGTAGTATATTTCCTTATGATTTAAGCCAGCTAGAATTGAGGTTTCTGATACCCAAAGCTAAAAATGTTGTAACTACAGATGTGACCAAGGAAGCACAGGGAAAACAGGCATACCAAAAATATTTGAAGATAACAAAAGATGAATTTAGGTTTACAGCATTTTTTCCACTAACTTCCAAACATTAGATCCAGGTAGAATAATTGTTACAACCTGAGAAGAGCAGCTTAGTACAAATAAAGTAGAGCATTACTTCATACAAGGTGTCTTAATTACTTTTACTCATTGCTGGGGCAAAATATCTGACACCCAAAATTAAGGGAGTAAAGATTTATTTCTTCACAGTCAGTAGAGGTCTCATTCCATACTCAGTGGGCTTCAATGCAGAGTGGCACATGGCAGAGGGCAGCAGTTCATGGCGGTGGAAAACAGCAAAGAGCATAAGGGAGGAGCAGAAGCTGTCACAACTAGACAGCCTCTCTCCCCTCCTTACATTGTAATGCATATTACCCACCCCAGGGCAGGAATATCGCTCACACCCATAATCCTAGCATTCAATCAAGAATTAATCACAAAAGAGGCCACCCCATGACTGCATGAGGCTTTGGGGGAACAACTAGACACAAACTATAATACAGGGTCTTGATTGGGAGTTGGCCAAAATGCACAAATGCCTTTTTTATAAAAGTGAGGGCGTACTTAGGCATATTATAAGATGAATTTTTTAAAAACAGAGTAATGTTTAAGATGAGCCTGTATGATTTCATGGTATTATAAAATAAGGAAGTGCTCAGAAAAAGGATGACATTTTCAATGACTGAAACTTGGACAACCTGATTTCAATCTCTCTCTCTCTCTCTCTCTCTCTCTCTCTCTCTCTCTCTCTCTCTCTCACACACACACACAGTAATAGCATTGATATATAACCCAAAGATTAAGATAACTACCCATGAGTCTATGCTGATTTAAATAACAACTGGATAAGTAAAAAATGGGAGAGAAAGTAGTGTTCTTCTTTCAGAAGTATTCCAATTATTTAATGAAAAAGCAATATGAGAAATAGCAACATTGCAGTAATATTTGTTGCAGGTAAGATCTATTGATGAACAAAAAGTGGGAGATGGTTTGAAGAAAAATAGGATATGTACATAGTTTGAAAATATCTTTCTCCAGTGGAAAATGGATATCTAAGACAAACCAGGGCCCAATAGGAGAGCATCAATCTAGATTTTCTTCTCCAAAATATGCCCCATGGTTTCTGAAGTGGAAAAGGCAATAACTTGGTTTAAGATTACATAGACAAGACTGCAGATTCCTCCTGAAAACAATAAAGTCATTGTTGTTTAGAGCTCAAATAGCATTAAGCTAGAAGTGGCCTGGCTCCCCCAATTGTCTCCCTTCTCACTATTGAAGAACTCAAAAGTCTTGTCTTCATATCCTCCCCAACCCCAAAGCTCTAGCATTGCTCACTGCCAGGAAAGGTCGTGTTGAGTTTCACAAGTCAATCTCAACATGCAGACTGACTGTGTTGCCTTTAATATCCTCTGGATTTTTGGGTTATTTGTGTTGGCCCAGGGCCATGTTCTGCTCTTCCCAAACCGGAACACATTCTCAGAAAGGGTTGGTCCCACCATCCTCATGTTGGTTAAGGCCAAAGTCTGGTTTCATTTTTCATTAAACTTCCATTTGTAACTTTCATTGAACAGATGACATGTCCAACTGTCTTCATTCAGTATTTTTACAAGAGAAGGACTTCTTGTCTCTGGGAAAGTGTATGATTTATTTATCTTCCATTATGCAATTAGTTTACCACCATTTTAGCTAACACAGTGTTCTGGAGAAAAATGTTGCTGTATCACTTGGTGAGTTCACTTAAGTTGGCAGTGACTGGTTTCTCACCTAGATCCACCAAATCCTACATCATGGGGTGGGGCGAAGTGAGGATTACATCACCAGAGATGGCTCTGGTCTGATTGGAAGTGAGTGTCCAGAGGCTGGAACCACTTCTTCCTTGTCCTATCTGCTCAGGCTCTGGTACATAGCAGGTGTGGTAGTCATCAGTGCTGTTCACCAAGTATTTTCAACTTTTCATTTCTTGGGGCCTCACTCATAGGGCTACACCTCCTGGCCTTTTGTGTCTAGGGGTAGCTATGTGAATAGTTCTAACTGATGAGTTGGGAGCAGGGCTGCTGTATACTATGTCTGTGCTGGAACATGCTTGAGGTTCAGAGATCATCATCCTCTACTAGCTCTTGATGGGTTTAAATCCTAGCTCTGCCACTTACTAGCTGTGGGCATTGGAAAAGGCTATTCAACCTTTATATGCCTTGATTTCCTCAGCTGTAAATTCTGCTGAGAGCTCACAAGACAGGGCCCACCATTGGAAGGCAGGCTAGGATACAAGGATTTCTGCCCTCCCTACTCAGTTTCTGCCATGTTTGTTAACTGATCTCATAGTTAGAGATCGAACTTCCTCTCTTGCTCAAAGACCCTGTGGGGTAAGGGTTAAAGTCGCCTACTCTCCAGTTGCTGAGGCATCAGCCTACAGGCTTTGGATAAATATTTAACCACAAATCCAGAGCACCCACAGCTTTCCTTCATGTCACAATTCAGTAACTGTGTAGGAAGCAGGTAATGTGGGCTCCCTCTTGAAAAAGGAAAGGAGACTTTTGGCGGAGAACTGGGTCCTCTCCTTGTCCTCAGCCTCTACCCTCTTTTTGGAGGTCCTAAAGTCAGAGTTATGTTAATCTGAGAGTGTGTTTCAAGAAAAATGAGTTTGGCTGGAAGTGTCTCAAAACATGAAATTTTAATTTTAGGGTAAGAACTGACTCACTTTCGTGTTTTAGACATATTTCCTTGAAGAACTTTTTTTAAAAAATTGCTTAAAGTAAAAGCATATTTATTCAGGCTATCTTAATTTTAGAAATTCAACAAATTCTAATATGAGATATACATATTTTAACTTTTTATTGAAGTGAATCATATGTACAAAAGTTCAATGAATTTGCACAGATGTAGTAGAGCCAAATAGCCAGTGCTCAGGTCAAGATCATTAGCTGCACTCTCAAAGTCCTTATTCACCACTATTCTGACTTCTGCAGAGTAGTTTTGCCTGCTTTGTCCATGATAGAAACAGAAGCACACAGCGTGTAGTTTCTCTGTCTGACCTCCATCACCATACATTGTTTAGGAGGTTCATTTGGTGTTCCATTCTGTGACTGTGACTATACTATGACATTTCAAACCAGCCCACAGTTGATGGGCTTTGGGACAGTTTCCAATCTGGAATGATTACGGATATGCTGTTACACTATTCTAGTTCCTAGCCTTTGGTCAACACACACACACACACACACACACACGTTTGTGTTGAGTATACACCTAGAAAGAGTTTTGCTCATCATAGGATAGTTATAATCTCAGTTTTATTTAATGTCTTCTGCTAAAGTCTCAAAGTGCTAGGAACAATTTCTACTCCCACTAGCAGTGTGCGACAGTCCTAGTGACTCTATACAGTCTTAAGTATGCTTTAGTACAAGTCAAACGCATGTAGGCAAATTCAAACAGAACCAACTTAACCCTTTGGAGTAGCATCAAGTCTACTTATTAAATGTACTGTTTCCCCTCATCATAACTTCTAACTTGTTAAACCTGGATGAGCTTCCTGACTTCTGCTCCCCCCTTAATCCAATCAGTCAAAAGTCCCTCTGAAAACACTCTCCATTCATTTAGCCAGCTAGAATGTTGTGAGTGTTAATAAATTGGTGTTTGCAAAACAAATTCAAGCCCTCCTGCAAAGTGGAGCGCATGTCTTGCCCCTGAGGTGGCTAATATGGCAGAGTCAGCCAGGCTGTGCTCTGCTGCTCTGCCCTTTATGAACATTGTGTCCTCAAGGCCATGAATACAATTCGGAATCCACTTGGGGTCATAAAGAAGGACAGTATATTCTACAAGTTTTAATGAAAGACACGAGGGTTTTAAAGTCATACATTTTGCAAATACAGGACTTATTTGACTATAAAGAAGAGGGTGATTGTAAAGGGAGTCAGTGTGGGAATTCAGAGCATTTAGTCATGTAGATCCCAGCCTCTAGTTTCCCATCTGTGAAATGGAGTACTCTAACAGGCTGCTTAAGTGATCTGTAAGTGTTATCCAGATCTCATTTTTCTCCTATGAGTGTGCAGAGGGTGGAGATCTTGACAGCGGGACTAGGTAGTGCAAAACAGTCATTTAAACACTTTATTTCAAATACTGCTACCTCATCCCTGTAGCACTCAGCAAATAGCGCTCAGGAGCCTAGTTACATGGTACTTGATGAATTATTAGGAAACCCACGGAGTTGAATCTTTCCCCAGGACGTTTCTCTTTTTACCAGTCTCTGCAGACCTCCCCTCCCAAGTAGTCTGGTTTCTGCACTCAGAAATATTCTGGGAGAGGGGACCTGTGGGCTTTCATTTATCACAGTGCAGTACAGAAAGCCTAGGGACAGGCCTTTGAAGACGAGGGCGACCCCTAAAGGTGAGCTGCTGAGTGGGGAGGTTGGGTTTCTGGAGAGGGAGCACGCGAGGCTAGCATCCTGGGGTTTAACCGTCTGAGAGCCCAGGGGCGCTGCGGGGCCTCTGGCCAGGGGGTGAAGGGGTGGGCAGCCAGGCTCTCAGGTCCGACTCCTCCCCTCCTCCGCAGCCCGAGATCCCCGCAGGGCTTTGGCCCACTGCGCCACTAGCTCACACACTCCTTTCGGCGCCCCGCCCGCTCCCCACCTCCGCGTCCAGCCTCTGCGCCCAGCCTTGCCGCCGCCGAGCGCTGGGCGCGCCACGCAGCGCTGGGCAGCTGAGGGTGGGCGGGCGGGAGGTCCAGCGGTCCGGGAGCGGCGGGGGCGGCGCCCAGCCCACGGGAGGGCGGAGGAGGGACGCAGCCCCAGGAAAAGGGAAAAGGACAAACAGGTCCAGAGTGCACCAGTAGCCAGCGATTAGCTGGGACCACAGGTAAGCTTGCGTCGCTGGCTTGGTCTGTCCCCTAAGGGCGAGCCCCGAGAGCTGACGCCCAGGGCGGGAAACTCATTGGCACCGAGCGACCTGGAGGGCGGCGGGACTTCGGCTCGAACGCTTCCTCCGCGGGGCTCCAGTTCTGAGGCGGCTAGCGGGGCCGTCCCGAAAGGTAGAAGCAAAACGCTGAGCCCTGGGATCCGCATCGCCACAGTGGTACACCACGTGCTGTGGGAAACGGAACTCCGCGTTGTGTTGTCTAAGGGGGGGCGCATGTATATCCAAAACTTTTAAACACACTGAAACATTCGCTACCCCTGTGGACAACTGAGCCAAGAGCCTTACTTGCGCAGGTGGTTCTCGAGATGCGACTCTCAGGAACTCAGTTTGCCATGCCCGGCAAGTGGGTGCGGTGGTGCTTGGTGCCTGAGGAGCGCAAACGCGCCCGGGCTCCCCATGGCTGGGCGCAGCACTATCTGGTGAGGCCCAGAACAGGTGGACCCCTGGCGTGGTGGGATGGAACCCAGTCCGGAGACAGCGGGCAAGCACCAGGAAGAAGCTGGTGGTCTTGGGGTGAGCGCGTTTGGGCCGGGTCTTCACTTTAGGGCTCTGGAAGTATACACAGAATGAAGAGAGGAGGAGAGCCAAACGGTCTCTCAGAAGCCAGAGGAAGCTGGAGGTTTTCCGTGGCTGCTTGGGCAGTGACACTTCTAGTCTGTACTGTGCACAAGAATCCCCAGGGGATCTTGTTGAAATGAGGTTGTGATTCACTAAGTCTGGGGTGGGGCTCAAGAGGCTGCATTTCTAACAAGCTCCCATGCTGCTGCCCCTCAGACTACACTTAAATGGCAGAACTATTTTTTGCTCTACAGGTTGATCATCTTAGGAAAGGTAGAGTGAGGGATCCTGAGACGTCCTGAGACAGTACAACTCCATCCCTACCCTAAACACACGTGCAGTAAAAATACACCGTCGCTACTGAGTAAATAGTAAAATCTTTTACTTTTCTTACCGGTTTTCTAGCCAAATACACAATCTGATAGTAGAGCTGGCTTCCTGGACGTGCAACCTGCACTTGATTTAACGTTGAAATTATTAATGGCTTTTGAACAAGGGGCCTCCTATTTTCATTTTGCACTGCGCCCCACAGCAGATCCTGTCTCAGTCACCATAGGTAGCGAAAGGACCTTTTGTCTTCTGTCAGGGTTTAAGCTGGTGGGTGATATTGAATAAATGTTCATTAAGCAAGATATTGCAGTTGCTCTAATCTTTCTCAATTTCTCTTTGGCTATCTTATGAAGTAAGCTTATTTGTATAACCCCACTCATGAACAGTATGACAGAAATGATAGCTTTATCAATATTAATAATTAATAGTGCACCAAGAGCTTAATTATCAGTAGACAATACTATTATGTGTGATGTCAAAATAATTTGTGAATTCAGGTATGTGTTATTTCCGAAGGATTTGGGGAGTCTTGTACAATTTTGATTATGTTAAAATCTGAACTGAGATGGACATTCCTTGGTTTGCCTGCTTAAACAGCTCAGATGCAAAGCTGATAGACAAAAAGTGGCCAAATTTTGTAGCTATTCAGGGGTCTTATTTTACAGGGCCTCAGCGGCAGGCAGGCCAGCCCTGATCACCCTGATCGGATTCCCTTCTGCTTTTATCATTCCTACATCCCTGCAAGGTGACTTTCCTTAAAAGGAGAGTGGAGCAAATTTAGCTACTGAAAAACCCTGGAGAAATATAGGGCTGGCATCCATGTTTTTGTCTGTGAATTATTCTTGCCACCAAAACACAGATACCAGGTGTATGGATGTACTTTTATGGGGAAAAAACAATAGAAATACAGAAAAGATGAAAAATGGAGCCCTAGTTGTGGAGATAGTTTTGTTCAGCAGGGGGAGAAAAAAGTCTGAGAAATGGAATTACATCCAAGCGTTTGGCAGGGAAAGGAAAGCCACTGGGTTTTAGCACCATGAGGAGCACCATGAGTAGTCTTCCAGAAATGGTGAAGTGAGTTTGCTTAGATATTACTTAAAGCCAGCAAAAAAGCTGATTTTACATGGTTGATGTGGCCCTTCTGGGGTCTCCAAGAGGGGGGATATCATGACTTATGCTCAGATGAAACTAACAAACATTTTTCCATTTTGCTGCCTGAGAGTTCCCAGTCACTTTCAGATAGATGCTACAAATTGGGAAAAGCACCATAAAATTAAGAAACGGGGAGGGGGGAAAGTATTTCCCTAATGTTAATAGTTCCAAAATTAGAAAGGAGAAATTCTGCTTTCAATAAAAACCTAGGAGGTGGTTTTTATGCTACACTGAGAAGAGCCCTCCCTATCTCAAGGTAGAAAACATATTTTAAGATGTTTAAGGTTTTTTGAATGTATAGATCTTTAATTTGTGTGGAACTTATTTTGGGCGTGTTATGATATGAGGTGGATGGCAGTTGAAAAATTTGGGGAAAATTATAAAATAAATTCCCTCAAAGATTATGGTGAACACGTTGCTCCATTTTATAAATCTAATAGTTCTTGAGTCCATTTTGTTTTTTTAAATTGAATTACAACTTATGGTACAGTTTACTCTATTAGTGTATAGTTCTAAAAACTTATGTATTAAGCCATATTAATACAATGAGCTGTAAAAGGCTCAAGTCAATAACTTCTGAGGATAACCCACTAATATTATAGACTGCTAGAGAGAGTTGGATTGTTTAGCTGAATTCAAACACCTATAGTATTTAGATGCCAATAGAATATTCACCTCTGACAGGACTAAACAAAAAAAAGGGATACAAAGGAAAGATCATTTTGTATTTATATATACAAAATAGCTAGGATAGATATAAAGCTACTTTCGCTTAATTCAATGAGAAAGAGGTGTACTAATAGTGTTTGGTCAGGTTATCCTGTCTGCTTCTAGTACTATGGATAACCACTAAGAACATAACAATGTACACTGTATTGATTATCGAAACTGTCCTATTAATCAGCTTTGAAACTGTCTCATTCATATTTATTTCTCAATAAAAATAAAAACTTATATAATCTCATAATCACCACCATATCAAGGTACAGAAAAATTCTGTCACTCCTAAAAATTCATTATTTACTCAGTTTTTGTAGTCAGACCCCACTTACCACTCTTAGTCTCTGTAAAGCACTGTTTGGTTTTTTTGTTCCTATAATTTTTGGCTTTGCCAGAATGCTCGCATACTATATAGCCTTCTGAGTCATTTCCTTATCTTAATACATCTGAGATTCATCTGTGTTGTTTTGTGAATCATTTTATTCTTTTTTATTGCTGAGTAATATTCCCCAGTTTATTTATCCTTTCACCAACTTTTGATAATTATGAATAAAGCAAATATACTCACATACAGCTTTTTGTGTGAATGACTTTTCATTTCACTCAGTTTGACGATTAGAAGCAGTATCACTAAATTGTGTGGTGAGTTTAACTTTATAAAATACTGCCCATCTTCCTCAAAGTGACTGTCCCATTTTGTTTTCTGAGGTTTTGTCTGTTTGCTTTTGTTTTGGTGGTACTGGGGCTGTAACTGAAGGCTTCACAGAGGTTAAGCAGGTGCTTCACCACTGAGTTACATTCCCACCCTGGTCATATATTTGCATTCCCACCAGCAATGTGTGAGAAGTCTAGTGGGCTGGTATCCTTGTCAGCACTTGATATTGTCAGTTTATTTCATTTTAGCCATTCGTATAGGCTTGTGATGACATGTCTCTGTGTTTTTTGTTTGCTCTTTGCTAATGACTAAGGATGCTAAGCATCTTCTTTTGTGCTTTTTGGCTCTTTGTATACCTTGTTTTGCAAATTATCTGACTTTTCCTTCCAGTGTGTTTGATTATTTAATCATAAGTTTTTCATATAACCGGGTACAAGTTCTCTGTCAGATCTATATTGTAAGGATTTTCTTTTATTATGTAACTTACCATTTCATTTTCCTAATGATGTTTCTATGAAGAACAGTTTTTAATTTTGTTAGTCTTATTTATCAAGTTTCTTTCTTCTATGGATAGCATTTTCAGTAACCTGTCCAACAGATACCCATCAGTCCAGGGTTACCAGCTTCCTGTGCTTTCTTCCTGACATTTTATATTTTTATCACTTATATGTAGGCTTGTAATTTCACTTCAGGCTAACTTTTATGTGGAGGGTCCAGGTTCACATTTTTCACATAGCTATCCAGTTGTCATAGCATCATATGCTGAAAAGACTCTACTTCTCACATTCCTTTTAGCTCCTCTGCCAAAAATTGTATAGGTCTATTTTTGATGCCTCAGTTGTATTTCATTGATATGTATGTCTATCCTGTGCTAACACCACACTGTAGGTCTTACGTATTCTTCTACAAAAGTGAATTTCTAGGGTATTTTTTGTGTGTCATTTTTGCTGCTTTAAGAAATTATAACCCCTTTTCACGTTTTATTTACTATATTATTGAGTAGAAAACTAAGTTTCTTTGTTGTACATTCAAGCCATCTTAACGTTTATTTATATCATAGGGTTTTTTATTTTTATGGATTCAAGGTAAATCCTCTTATTGCCTGTCAATGGCACTAGTATAGAGACCCATTCCCCTGGTGTTTTTACCTCATTTAATTTTCTTGTCCCAGTGGATAGGTTTCCTTGTAAGTTAATGTTAGGGAGTGTTTTCTGATTTGAATGCGAATACTTCTAACACTGTACCATTAAGTCTTATGCTTGCAGTTAGGATTCTGGTTCTATCTTTGGAAATTTTCTCTTTTTATCTTATTAAAAGTCTAAAGTTCAATTTAAACATTTCTGGTTATGCTTGGACTTTTTTTTCCACTGAAAGCCTAACTGGTTTTCAACCCATCTTCCTGGTTTGAGAGTTCATATTTTGACCTCCTTTGGGAAATTAGTATTGGTTTTTATTTAGATTGATTATGAAGAATCTATCTTAGCGAGACCCTATTTCAAAACCAAAAATGAAAACAGGGTGGGCG